CCCCGGCCCGTCCCCCCTCGCCGCGTGAGGGAGGCAGGGAGAGAGAAGATACAGCGAGGGAGAACAGCGCTGAAAGGCATATCACTGTCCACGTAAATCCCGAGCTCGCGGCCCTCTGGCCTGGCACGGCTGCTGTCCAACACCAGAGCACTACACCGGGGGCAAGGGCAGGGCGAGCAGAGGGCACTTCCACCCGGTGGAGTCGACCATCCAGAAGGGGCACCCGGCGCCAGGGCAAAGAACGAGACCAGTTTCCTTTGAGTTAAAGAATGTAGCAAATGTACTGAAATTTTTTCGTGAGAAATTAATTGACGCTAGCCCACTAGTCTGACCATAAAAATTTCCGAAACTTTCCGTGGAACATTTTGTAGAAACTATTCAGACTTTTGCTACTGACCCTGGCGGGAGTGGCCGAAGCAGAAGAGAACGCCGTCGTTGCCGTTGAGCACGGCGTGCAGGAGGTCGGTGAGCGCGCCGCCGCACACCTCCGTCTGCGCGTCATCGTCCGTGTAGATGGCGTCGAAGGCGAACATCTTGGGCGCGGCCACGCCCACCCGCCGGTCCTGTGGGGCGTCCCCGCCGCCGTTCAACGTCCCCGACGAAGCGGGCTCCAAGAGCGTGACCTGGCCGAACAAAGGAAATCAGAGGCGTCAAAGTTTTGAGGAAATCGGTTTTATTGGGAAAATGTCAGCATATGGCGTTGTGTCGTTAGCGGACATGACCTGGGCGCCGAGGGTCAGGATGGACGTTAGCGGACATGCGGTACCTGGACGGTCGGTTCGGGGTACCGGTGGACGGCTAATCCCAGCGGGGGCCGCCCAGTAGTGTGTCGTTTGCGGACATGCGGCGGCGGCCGGCGGCCGGCGGCGACCGAGAAGAAGCAAACCAAAACTAGCAAACCTAACTCAATACAGAAAATCAGTAAAGATATTCTTAGATAATCATCTGTTCAGCTAAGTCTCTTAGAAATAATAAAAAGCCAACCAAAACTAACAAACCTAACTGAATACAGTAAATCAGTAATGTTATTATCAGTGCAGCGTTGCGCTTCGCTATCGCTCCGCGCAACGCTTTGGCATGGAACGACGCCCATCTGAATTCAGGAATTGATTACTGCCGCAAACGACGATTTGCCCGCGAGAAAGTGTCTATTGCCCGATTGCCCGTGCTGGATCTCGCTCCTCCGTCAGACACAGTCAGACAGTACTAGCTGCTCACAAGTTAATGTTTAGGTCAAGTGCTGAATATATACTCTGATACCAACCGGTCGTCTTTGCCCTCAGCCCGAGTTTAGTAGCGCCTGACGGTCCCTAGGTAGGCCGCCGACGCCGCCGCATGTCCGCAAACGACACACTTGGCGGTCCCCGCTGGGATTAGCCCTCCGCCGGTTCCCCGAACCGGCCGTCGGGGTACCGCATGTCCGCTAACGTCCATCCTGACCCTCGGGCCCAGGCCATGTCCGCTAACGTCCATACGCCCAGCATATTTTTAACATGATGTGTCGGCCGAGGGTACATTACGAAGAGAGAACCCAAGATCGAGACCGAGAAGACTTCTCCTGAGACTGTACCTGCTTCCGGCGCTGGTCAACGCTGAGGTAGGACGGCGGGGCAGAAGGTGTCGTCGTGGACGCGGCCGTGCTCGCCGTGGTCGCGGCGCTGGGCGTGCTCGTCGCGGTGGTGGTGGCGGCGGGGTGCTCGCCCGGGGCCGCGTCCGCGACAGCGTGGGCGAAGTGCGCCGGCGAGCTGGGGGTAGACGTCGAGGTGGACGTAGACGTCGACGCCGTGGTCTGCGCCTTGGCGGAGAAGCCCGTCACCCTCAGCATCACCTTCACCTGCGGAGCAAAAAAAACACGGCGGTCAGTTCAGCCAGTTCAGCGGAGGTCGAAGGGTGGTTGTTGTTGGCTGTTTGCGGAGGGAGGCGAGGCGGGTACGCCGCGCGGCGTAAAGCGCCCCGCCCCGCCCCGCCACGCCGCTCGCTGGGCGTGGCCGGGGCAGGCGGCCGACGGCGGCCACAAAAACTGCCACAAAGATAACGCCGAGATAAATCGCACGTAAAACAGCGCCGGCCGGAACAATGGAAAAAGGAGAGCGGACGAGCCGAGCTGAGCCGAGGCGGGGCGAACGAGCGGGGCTTAAAAGTGCCAGTGCCAATCATCATTAACCCCGCGTCGCCCCGCCACGACGCGACCGCCAGGACTGCCAGGACGACGACGGCATCCGTCAAAAAGTCCGCGCGGGACGACGCGCCGCCGCGGCCGCCGTCAAAGAGTGAGAGAGAGAGAGAGGGAGGAGGGGGAGGAGGCGGCCGAGCAGGCACAAGAACCTTATTCTCTCTAGCGCAGCTCGTTACTCTGACTTTCTGCCTGCGTCTCTCCAGTGAATTACGCGCACTGTGCAGCGCCATCACGCGTGCACGCACACACATACACACACGCACACACACAGCTGCTGCTACCGCTGCTGTTGCTGC